TCTAACTGGCGCCGCGGAAACAGATGGTTGCCTTGACAATGAGCGGACACGTTCCTATTGGCTTGTGCTCCAAGGGAGGGGCTGGAGGCAGCTTAGAAGTACAGCAGCGAGAGAGGGAGCTGATGACCATTCAGTCGGAGTGTTTTTACATTAATTAGATGCTGTTTAGATATGTTGTTGGTTACTTTGCTGCAGAAGTTTCTGAATGAGTAAATAAAGTAACAGAACATGACCGATGCTGGACTTTTGATGCCGATTGTAAGGATTTTAAAAAAATTGATATCGATATATTGGCTGATATTGTTTATTTAAATGTTAGACTTGTGCTGAAAAGGCAAAATGAGGCGGTTGTGTGTGTTTTTTGTTTTTAACTTTGCTGCAATGCATTTCACAAACTACCACGAAGACACCGCACGACTCCACACCACCACCTGTTGAACATGTGCTCTGCTACATGTGCTGCACACAGTGCTAGAAGGATTATAAACTAAGGAGTTGGAGCCAATCTGTTGAACAAACTATGTCATGACACTATTTCTAAATTATTCCAAATGTCGTTTTTATATTGTGTTATGTTACAAAAGGACAATAAATTCTAATAACTTGTTTAACTGTAAACTAAATTTTATAATTCATCCTACATCCACCCAACCGGTCGAGGCAGATGGCCGTCCCTCCCTGAGCCTGGTTCTGTCGGAGGTTTTTTTTCCCCTGTGGGGGTTTTCGGTTCCTTCCCACTGTTGCGGACTGCTTGCGGACTGCTGAAGCTTATAGGGAATCCAGATGTTTTGGATTGTTGGGTGTTTCTGTCTCTGCCTTTGTGAAGCGCTATGAGATGACTGTTGTTGTAAATATGCGCTATACAAATAAAATTGAATTGAATTGAATTGAATTGAATTGAGTTATGTGAAATAAAGTCTTCACGTACTGATACATCTCTGATAGGCCAATGTTGATCAATAGCATCACCAACTGATATTTTGGTCGGGCTCCAGGAAATCATGCTCAAAACCTGCCTGATCATTTTCTTGCTTTTTCTTTTTTTTAAATGCTTTCCAGGGAAAATTGTGTGAGAAACTTCATTTTCACTCCTCAATAAGTAAAAGTGACTCTGAAGTTAAATTAAAAGTCGCAAATCAACGTCTGATGAATGCCAGCGTTTCCTAACAAATCTACATCATTGCCACAGAGCAGCGTGTCAAACCGTGGCACTCTAACCAAAAAAAAAAAAAAAAAAAGGGTCAGAGACATTTTCATGTTAGACCCCCATTTGTCAAGACTACAGTTGAAATATAATAAGTTCAGATCCCAAGGCGAAATTAAATTTCTCAAAGTTAGGTCCTGGGCTGGAAAAATACATTTAAGAGCCCCTGCTGTAAAAGGCATATCTGCAGAATTAGCATAAAAGGCAGGTTTTCATCTGCTGGCTTTAAAACTGAGAGCCCTCGGGGGTGTGCTGGCGGAATAATGGACTTTTTAAACTTTTTGACTTCATTTCCCTCCCTGGGCACGGCAGGTAAGACACAAGCTCGCTGGCTGCAGCCGTCCGTACTGTAAAATGTGACAAAGGTTACATTGACTTGACTGCTTTTTTAATGCAGATATTAATAATATATCACGGGATTAACGCGACATGTTTAAATCAACAACACAACACTGGGGCGGCGATGACAGTTTCATTTAAACTCATTAAAACGGCAGAAATGGAACCATTTTAACAAGTTAAATTAGTAAAGTCAGCCAGAGGCGCTGTCCAATTTAGCTCAGTAGAAGACTAATTGGCTGCTGGGGTGACTGGGGCAACTTTGGGTTCAACTTAACAGAGTTGTGTCTCAAATGGGTAAACGTACCGATCTGTAGAAACCCCATTTTATTTATTTTAATGGAGTTTTCATTCAGATTTATTGCCGTTCTTGGAGCATATGATGGTTTCTGTGTCAGGTGAGAGGTAAAAGTGTAACATGAGTGGCTAATCATGAAACACAGGCAAGTGTGAACATGACGAATGTGCCCTTTTCTAGTCGTACCGGCAGTTCAAGGCACGCTTTTTGATCACTAGAAGTGGCAAATGTGAGTTTCCTGTTTAATGTGTAAATGCGTCCTGCAGGGCTGTGTGCTGCTATGATGCTGATATCAACACAACGTCCATGTAACGGTGTTTAAAAGCCACGCAGGGACAGAAGAACGTCTGTTTATGATTTCTACATTGATTCCATTGATAGTTCACATATTCAAATGTTGGGTTTTGGGATTGTGTTCCTGGTCGCCGAGAGTTGAGAAACGCTCAGCTTTCATGAGGGCCAGGACAGACGTTACGCCGACCAACTGTCAAGTTCTACTCGTACAAGTGTGGAACAACGACTGAATAGCAATGGAGGACGAGTCAATACTGCTGCTCTCTGAGTACTCATGTCTGCAACCAGATAAAATCTGCAGACTACCAGAGGAAAACTGACGCTTCGACCAACCTTTTGTTCTACCTGGTGAGCAGAAGTCTGCTGCCAGTTGCAATTACTTCCATGGATATTCCGTATCGCGGCAACCAAAGCGTCTCAGCTGAGAAAGCGCCGCACCTCCTAAGTGCTCTCAAGCGCTCCCAACTGGACGTTTTCAGAGGAGTGTCTGGCATTTTCGTCTGGCAACAAGCACTTGGTGGACGCGCAGACTTCCAGCTCCTAGCCAAAGGGGGCATCCGATGACATTTTAGTGCTCTCGAGCTGTGAAGACTAACAAGAGAAGTCATGTTTCTCACAAAATAAATCATCCAGTTAGTCTGATTTTGTCAACACTGACATTAGAATTGCCTGGATCTCTCTAACCTATCTCTCATCCCGGCGTGCTCTTTTAGAGGAGGGGGCTGCGGCGCTGCCAATTAAAGCAGCAGCTCATTAGAGAAGCCGCTTAAAGTGAATTGACAGCCAAAATAGTCTGTTCACTTTTAGGTGAGAGAAGCATAGCGGTGAAGCACTAAAACCGAAGTTAATGGCCAATTTAGTGTATTAAAAAGATACGAAGGGGGGAAAAAAAACTAAACTTAAAAAAATATTTCCACTGTATACCAGGTAATTATAGGAAATTGCAAGAAAGCCACACCGGCTGTGGTTCATGGATGGATGGGGGGAAAAAGTAAGTTTGTCCTCGTAAAATTGGCCGAGCTTTTAGTGGTTTTCAAACATCGCATTTAAAAGTTTTGTTCGTGCATTGTTATGCAATTAAACTCTTTAAATATTTTTACAACCAACTGCTCCAAAACAAGTGGACGCCGGCGTGGCAGCGGCTCCACAGGCAACACTGGATATATATACGGTGCTTAAAAGGCAGCGCGCAAATGTAATTGCACAGACAGACTCCGGCTCTGGCCAACCCGCAGACCCCCACCTTCATGGCCTCAGTTAAGTGTAATAGTGTATAGTGGATGTGAGAGGGTTTGAGACGAGGTCAGAGCAAGGATCACCAACTAATTATGGTGCCGAGGTACTCAGCCTCTGTCAGATTGTTTAGAAAGCATTAGGGGGGAAACATGGGCTTCCCTGGTGCATTGCACATAATTAGATTGGAGCCAAGGTCACAAATAAACACAAGCGCGGGGGGACAAACAGCAGCCGGGCTCAAGCAAAAAAGAAACACACTCTATTCTTCTCTCGTGCTTCCTCTGTTCTCCGGCTTTGCTCTCGCTCCGTCTTGCTCTCTCAGGGGCAACAAGGCACAGCGTCTATTAATTTCCTAAATGAATAGCTGACCAACTGATAGCAATTTATGAATGTTCACATTTCAAGCTCCTTGCTATTAATTACCTTTGGTGTAGGGCTCGGCTTTACTTTTAAGTATATTTTAATGCACCGATATATCTATTAAACGGAATAAACGGGCTGAAACCATCTGTTGGGACGTCGCCGTCTTTTCTCTTCACCCACTCCGGGGGTTCTTGTTACCCCCGAAACACTAATTTCCATACAACAATAAGCATATTGCCTAATCAATACGTTTTAAAGACTAACTGCTGCGGCCATTCTTCTAAGTGTTGCTTTAGATAAGGGTCATTGACCTGACTGGGGAGACTTGGCAGGTGTTTCTATAGCTGTGCCAGGAAACAATGATTAGAGTAGTTGTGCTAAAACACTGTGACAAACAGGCCACCAGCGAACTTTAGGTAACATTAAAAAAAATGTGTCAAAAACATTCAATGACGAAATGGTTCTATTGCAAAGGAATTCAATCTGAAATATTTTTGAGCTCAGGGTGCTGTTGAGGAAAAATCTATCACCAGCCTCAGACAGACATGTTTAAAATTGACAGATGGCTCAACCATGACCGCTGAGAACGAGGTCGATTAAGAGAGCTGGTGGGCAAAAAAAAAAAAAAGAAGGGTTTGGGAAGAAATGATGAAACAAAATGAAGTTGGGTGCTGCGGTCTGTATGCAATTATCTGCTCTCCAGACACTCGGGCTCTGCTTTGGAATATGCAAGACAATCACATTTCAGAAACCCACACAGAAGAGCTGTTGCATACATAAAGCTTACACAGGAGGTCCTGCTGGCTTTAGAGCAGACCACCGGGTCGCAAAGAGATTCAGCTGATTATCTGTTGTTCCAGTTTTGGCATAAAAGCGGGCAGAGAGGTGCAATTATTTTTGAAGTTGATGGTCTGTAACCAGCGGAAACAGAGAAAAGGGGGCTGTTAGGTAGGTTTTTGTCCGAGCTGCACGTCGGATAGTGTGGTCCACCGGCACCTTAGCGGGTTCGTAACTTTCCAAAACTGACAGTCTGTCCATGCTAGGTAGCTAACACAAGCTAACCAGGTGTCTGAGGACGCCAGGATGAAGTCTCACCAACACAAACAGTGCACTTCCTCTTCTGTCTCTGCTCAAAGCCGTGATTGATGAGGATACCCGCGCTTAGCTGAAGCATCTGCCGGTGACAGACCATGCAGTCGCCGTGTAGCACTCTTATAATTGGGGAAATATGAATCGATTCTGGACTTTCTGGACACACGGGCTCACCTGGATGCCGTCCAGCAGCTTGCTCATGCACCAGAAGCTGTCAGCCTCGATGTTCCTCAGAGCCTCTTCCTGGAGACTGGACACGTCAAAGTTTTCCACTTCCTCCTCTGGAGAAGAGAAAACAAGAGTGTAAGGCGCGGCGCAGAAAAAATAAAAGTAAAAAAAAATAAAGAATGCGATACAGGTGAAAGAAAGCAGGAGGGGGAAAAGTTAAAGAAAGTAGAGAGACAGAGCCGAGAAGAGAGAGCAATTCATGGCTCTCAGCACAGCGGGGGCTTTGTCACGAGCCCACCGCTCAGACAGAGGCGACGAGGAAGTCATAGGTGCACGGGGAGGACAGATTCAATGAGCAGAGTGGGGGCGAGGGAAGAGGTAAGGGGGCTGGTTATGAAAGAGATGTATGGAAAAAGGAAGGCAGACAAATTGGAGCACGGGAATAAAAGGGGATGAGACTGTGAAGCCGAGCATGTGGGAAGATGGCACAAAAAAAAAAAAAGAAAAAGCAGCAGACTGATCAAGCCGCGGGATGATTATCATCTTTTCAAAAACAGCAGTTCAACCTTTACGTTGCTTCTCTGAACATTTAGAAAATGTCAGCCGCTGCGAACAAAGCGTGAAGCGTGCTTTGTATATGCAGATAGTGAGTTTAGGGAAAACAAAAATGATGCAACTCTGATTCTAAGTTTGAACCTGCTGACGTTAAATTACCAGTCGAAATCATGCCGCTAACGTTGAAAGAGCTGCCTTTATACTTTCTAATACAGTATTTTAATCTTATCTTTACTATGTGGCTGTATGATGCTGTGTTTATCATTTTAGAGTTTTTTGTTGGTGTTATTTATTGAACAATGTGGACCTTTGAAAGGCATATTATCCTTAGAAATTACCAGAATTACATAAATTATAGGAGCAGAGGCCATAAACACGTGAGTAACTGTCAGATTTCATGCTGTTTTCCTGCTTTTGACTGGAAAACGAATTAAAAACTTATCTTCAACAAGTGCGACTTAAAAATTTGCCAAACATAAAGCGTGTAAATTAAGACAATTCTGTAAAAACACAAGAAATTCAGAGCTTCGTAGCACAACCAAGAATCCATGAGTGACTTGGCTGCAAACAACAGTCACATGACAAAAAATCAGGGACATTTTGGATGAACTGCAGACTGTGTTTATCTATTAATTAAAAACGTAATTAGTAAAATATCTATAATACGTAAAGTCAGTCTTGTTTTTTCCAGTTTTGGTAAAATCCTGTGTGAAAATGTTTAATAAATAATAAGATATTCAAACTAATATTACATGTTGTACATGTTCATTTCAGGTTTTTACATTTTCTGTAAACAAAAAGAGAAATGCAGCTTTTGTTATTTTCCTTTTTTGTATGATTAAATGCATTTTAAATATTACATGAAAAAGAAAAACCAGACATTTCTCAGTCCTCTCTCACTGTGTCACGTCCATCAAGGTGCAAGACGTTATATTGCAATGAAAATGAGACCACGGTGAGTTAAAAGGTGACGAGGGCAAACAAAAATTGCACAGAAACTGCTGGAAGGATTTGCATTGTGAGTTGTGTAAACTGCTATAAAAGTAGTTGTGAGGTGATGTCAGACCAGCGGAAAGATTAAAAGTCCTGCAACAAGGTAAAGCAGAACTCGGACATATTATAAAACACTGCAAACCGAACACGAGAGAGACAGAAAGAAAAAAAAAAAACTCCAAGCAGCAAGAGTCCCCAGTCATCTCCAGTGGATGACTTCAACGATGGGTGTCATCAAATGTCATTAACGGCAGCAGTGTGTGACGGACTGCAGGGGCTCTGACGAGCTTCTGACAACCCACTGACAGCCAGTGGAGAGGAGATGGGACGAGACTGATTAACAATGATGTAGAGTGAGAGAGAAAAGCCAGAGAGAGACGGAGAAAGAGATGGAGAGAGAGAGATGGAGTGAGAGTGGGCACCGGAGAGAAAAAGAGCAAAAGCTGTGGTGCTGATGTGTGTGTGGTCACATAACCAAAAAAAAATGGGTGTATTTGGTGAGTCTGTGCATTCATAACAAACACTCACTCAGGACCCGGCAGCTCTGCTTGGTATCCTTGGCAACCTCAGTGAAATGTTGTCAAGGTTGTAATGAGCATGCTCAGTCTGACAGACGGACGGACAGGGAGCTGGCGGTCGGCCAGGGCTACAAAGCTGCTAACAACTAGTGTGTGTGTTTGTGTGTGTGTTTGTGTGTGTGTGGTTTCCAATCATTGTCCTGTCTGCTTACAGTCAGGTAAAGATGGACGGAGTCTGCAGCTGCAGTTCCTTCATTTCGGGGGAAGGACCTTTCATCCAGTCACACGGGGGACAGATCAACATGTCCACACGCGAGGAAATCTCATTTTTGTTGTCGCCGCCAGATCTTTAATACCAGATAAGGAGGTGGTCAGGGGCCTTACTGTGATTGGATGCCGGTACAGTTTACTTTAACCACAACACTGACACAAGCAAAGCAAAAAAAGAGAAGCCACCACACATCTTGCAAACATATAGATATAGGGGTACATCGATTATCAGCCTGATTGTTGTGGCCGATATCCGGAGTTGTTTGTATCGGCCGATTATCGTAAATTAAATGCGCTACGTTAGATCCGATGCAGCCTCCTTTCTCTGTCTGTCGCCACTCTGTGGTCTCAGAAATGTCTCTCAATTAAAAACTGAACGAGAAGCACAAGCCGCTACCACAAACCAGGAAATTAGCCTTTCTCACGGTGGCTAAGGCTACGCTAATGGCTAGCGGCTAAGCTCGAAAGCCGCCACAAATTAGACGTAACTGCAGGAGAGAAGCTGATCAATCCCAGTCGATCTCACGTAAATGCTCTTTAGTTATAGTCACAGTTATGAACGACAGGTTTGCTATCGGCTCCAAATATCGGTATCAGCCCCGAAACACCCACATCGATCAATCCCTGCTTTATAATCTTCTAAAATTCAGTTTTTTGGAATGAGATCTAAACTGTAATTCACCAGTGAGAAGTGTAAACATCCAGAGAAGGAGAGGTCATCCAGAGCGAGAATATTAGAAGTCAGACACAGCTGATGGGAGGGAAACTGGCTATATTTGTCCTCGCTTTAAACTGAGCCCACAGCAGAAGCCGACTAGACCTAAATGTGGCGTTGGAGCAGCTGTTACAGAAACAAAAGCAGCCACCATCTGACCAATTTAGAGTCAGTGTTTAATTTGATAGCTCCTCTATAGCGATGCGGCAGACAATGACGTTACATTAATACGGGACTCTCGGCGGGCCGCGGCAGCTCCGAGCGCCAGTGATGGCATTAAATCTGCGCTTGAAAAGATTAATTGTGAACAGACTGACGGCCAATTCGCATGGTGTCGCTGCTGATTAACAAAGTGGCGAGAGTGCCGCTGCTCTGGCGTTTCGGGAGACCCTGAGCGTCCCAAAGTCTCAAATCAGTCTTTGTCGCCGTGGCGGCGGCGGCGGTGAAGGCCTCGCTGTCGGGCCGGGCTCCAAAGAGAGACCTTGACTCTGGAGCAGATTAGAAGGGACGGCTTCCAGGAGTCGACTGGTTGGACTGGAATTGGGCATAGCTCATCACAATAACAAGGACACACAAGAGGAAGAGGGGGACGAGGTTATGCGGCGGCAGCGATGGGACTCGGTGTGGCCGGAGCACGAGGCAACGCTGCCCCCTGTGGACGCTGGTGGAACTGACGCCGACCAATGGCTCGACACCATCGAACGCTAAAAAACAGTCAAACTTGAGGTTATCGGTCGTTTTGGTGGTCTGGTAGCTCTTTTTGTTCCCTGTTTAAAAATTAAAAGAACCTAATGTGTGGCGTGAATCATTACTCACACTGGGGTCACACAAAATGTCTTTTTTATTTTGTGGCAAATTATTTTTTTATTTTTGTTTTTGTTGTCTGACTAAAATATTTTATATATATAACAGTCAAACAACTATGCAGAATTTTTGAATCCTCAATATACAGAATTTATCTTTCAAATAACAGCAAATTTCTGCAATTTAATTTTTTTTTTTTGCTGATTTAAAAACTGTAAAAAAAAAAAAAACATTTTAAAAAATAGCGTAATTTTGGATTGTAATTTTCCGAACATGTATAGTCATATTTTTTTTTTTAAATATCTGTAAAAATAATGTTGTTGTGGGATGATAATAATAATATCAATAATAACAATCATCATTATTATAAAAATATTTTTTACTGATTTAAATACTAAAAAAAAGTGTAATTTTGTGTCAAACATAAAAGATTGAAATCAGATTTCGATGCTGGTGTTATTCACAGTTTTAGCTCGTTTTTTAACCATTAACATATAAATTAATACTTTTTTCTGTGGTGATTTGACTGTTTGTCTGTAATTTCACAAAACAGTGAAATAATAGTAAATTAATTCAAAAATTATATATAT